AAAGTGACTTGTAAGACATCTTGTACTAGGTCTATAGCAAAACTTGAATACCATAGCCCTGTCCTTACATATGTTTATACCAAAGCCATGCATACTTAATAGAAAGTCACATGTTCGTTACACTGACTTTTTAAATGACTTGGAATGGACAGGTCTGTATTCTATTGTAATAACATAACATGAAACAAAATAAATGTCACTCATAATGTTCAGATAAAGAACTAGAGAAATGGTGACTAGTGGACTGGTCCAAAGGCTTATTGGGCTAGCTAGGTCTATTTAGATGCTCCTGCAACAACTTGCGTGGAACACGAGTTCCAGTTGTATCTTAGGTAGTAATACTGCACATGATTTTTCTGTGTTATTATCAAAATTCTCATCCTGTTTTGCTTCTTCTTCTAGGGATTATACTGCTCTTTGAGACAATTGCTTGAGGTGGGATTTTTTCATGCCGACCCGCATCCTGGTAACCTTGTTGCCACTAATAGTGGTGCTCTTGTGTATTTTGATTTTGGAATGATGGGTGAAATTCCTCGACATTATCGTGTTGGACTTATTCAAGTGGTAAGAGCTGTTGAATTATTTTTAACTCAGGGCACAAGATCAAATTATTGTCAAGCTAAAGATGTTCTTCAAAATAGAGTTTTTAAATATGCATATATGGCATTTTGTCAGTGTAAGGGTATGCCTGCCTCAAATGATATCCTTTTTAGAAATGAGAACCTAACTGTTCAATTGTATGGGAGGTTTGGGAAAAAGGTAGGAGGATTGCACCCCCTTTGATATTTTTTTAAATCACTTATATGTAAAATTTCATATTCTTGGCCTCTTGGCTAGGGGAGTTTATATATATGGACACCTGAAAGAAAAAAATTTGTATTTGGTTACCTCATGATTATGGTGTTGTTTTAAATCACTTGTATCTCGTTCTGTTATGCAGTTTGTGCATTCTTATTCTTGTATATATGGTGTTGCTAGCTTTTTCTGTATATTGACTTATGGTTGTGTTAGTTGATAAGTTTCTGTTTCTTTCAGCTTGTGCACTTTGTTAATCGTGACTCCCTGGGTTTGGCAAATGACTTTCTTTCTTTGGGATTTATTCCTGAAGGGGTTGATGTACAATCAGTTGCCGATGCCTTGCAAGCATCCTTTAGTGACCGGACTAGACAGTCTCAAGATTTCCAGGTTTTTGCCTCTGCTCGTTTTGTATATCCACGTAGAACATGTTTGTATATGGCTGTTCACTTCAATAGTTGTTTTAGATAAGGAATTCAACATAGGGATATTAGGATGATACAAGTTATGCCGTCACTTTTGTTAATCTATGCAGGGCTTCTCACAATTTTTTGCTTGTTTTTTCCATTTTTCGCTCGGCCATCTTTGTGGCATTTTGCAGCACATTGTCATGATGGGCTAAAGGAATGTCCTTCCTGGCTCAAGGGATGTATAGGGAAGTTGGCAGCCAACTTTTCTATTCCTGTGCTCTAAGAACTTGGAAATTCATTCATATGCATATGGCATTTAGGGGTATCCAATTTGTTCATTCTGAATCTTAACAGTATGTGACCTTACTTAAATTGAGATGGTGTGGCTAGGACCTCTAATGGGAATTTTCTTAGTCGGACTAAGGCTCAAATGCTTATAATTAGATGTTCAACTGAGAAATCTGTGCAATATATGCACACTTCTTAGTTCTTTTCTACTTGTATGTAGTCACATTTAAGAGCATGCATCAGCATATCAAATTTTTTTTTCTTTTCAATAATGAACTACGTATAATATTCTGTAGATTACTTTGAATCTATATGAACATGATGCTTGGATTATAGTTAAATGAACATACGAATGCTAGTTTCTGCTAGTTGACTTTTTGATGAAATTGACATCCTCTTGTCTTGCTTATCTCCTTGTTGGGCACTTCTCCACTCAGTAAAAGTATGCCCTTCAATTTAATTCTTGCAATGGATTACAGGGAATAATGGACCAACTCTATGATATTATGTATGAATTTAACTTCTCTCTTCCTCCGGACTATGCCCTGGTGATAAGGGCCCTGGGATCACTAGAAGGCACTGCCAAAGTCCTCGATCCTGCTTTCAAAGTCATTGAGAGTTCATATCCTTTTGTGATTGGAAGACTTCTGGCTGACCCAAATCCTGACATGAGAAGAATTTTAAGACAGCTTCTCATACGTAATGATGGATCCGTAAGGTGGAATAGGCTAGAACGCCTGGTAGGTTGCCTAATCTCTTTGTTTCCCATAATCTAGCATAGTTGATGCATAAATAGAATCGTGTATTTGCACATAACTAGACAGATACGTATGTATTTTCATGAGCATAGTTTTAAAAGGTCCTTTAAACGATTAAAGTTCACATAGTTGTTTCTGCTTCATGAGGACTCTAATCTTAAATGAATCTGCAAATTGTCTTACACACTTAAATTTTGTAATACTGACCTGGTAAATACATTATAACCTTGTGTACATGTCAGTGGAGTGGAGTATTGTTCACATATGGGATCCCCCAAGCCAGTTTACTGCATATCATCCCTTCCCTTCTATTTTGAAGATACTACTCGTAAAAAGTTCTTTTTGATAATTGACTTTTACTATAATATGAATTAGTCAAATACTTGTATTTCTATCCACTTTCAATGTTTTTACCAGGCATCTGTTTTTTGTTCCAGATTGCAGCAATATCCGAACAGGCTTCTGAGTCTGCTGAGGAGCACCCTAATTCTGGGGAGAGTTCTCCAAATCCGTTGAGAAGTAAATCATTTGACATGCATGCTGTTGTTGCCGCCACCGAAGATCTTTTACGCTTCATTCTCTCTGAGAAGGGTCAGAGGGTGCGTGTATTCCTTGTTCGGGATATAATTCATGCAGCTGATGCTTTTCTTGAGGATGAAGTTGTCGGTTGCATGTTCGACGAGAAGCCTGAAGCCAGAGGCTCACCTGAGTCTGAGGTTGTTCTATAAATTGTGTTTCTACTCCTCCATAATAGATAATTTGATAAGCAAGTGGATTAGGAAACATGCATCTTGTATGGTGAGGTTGATTATCCGTTATTTTCTTCTTTTCGCAGGGACACGACACGCTCAAAAGGGTCGTAAATGGGTTTCGGTATCTCCGTCAAGCTGTAAAGTTGGCCCCAGAGGTGTGGACAGAAATGCTTGTACGCATGGCACTCACACCCGAGGTTCATAGATTTACATTAGACATTCTTTCATCGCTGATCATTCATTTAAAAGGCAAAATCCCAGAAACTACTTGGGTTTGTATATCTAGACTTTTGCACAAGACGGCAAAAAACCGCAGCTCTTCTGAATTTTGAAATTATAGTATATTTTGATTCAAGTTTCATTGCAACCCTTTTTTACCCGTTTGCAATGTGTTTCCATGATTGTATATAACGTAAGGAGTACTTCGCACTCAAAATGAAAAGAGGAATACTTGTCGAGCAATAACTTTGTGGTGAAGTTGAGGGTTTGCTTGAAACCCACTGTGCGAGTTCAAAGAGTTGATTGCTTACCCTCAACCATTCATATCTTGCTTCTTGTCCATTTGATTCTCTTTAGTTTTGACCCTCAAAATTTAGTAGAGGCTCGCTCTTTCAAGAACTCTTTCGACCATGGCCATGGGGCACTCACCGGGCCACCGGCCTATGCCTGGTGACCTTATCGCAAGGGAATTAAGGTGAACCAGAGAAAATTAGAGAGAATCTTAAAGCTCTCATTTATTGAAATTGACCCCTCGTTAGTTTCAAGATAATTTATATTCGCGATGGTGAAGGAATGTGAAACTTCGACAAGTATGAGAAATGGAGACAACTCCTCTTCAAGAGAAAGTTCTTGTATGCATTGATGAATATGCAACTCACTAGTTTTTGTCGGTGGATATTTGTGAGTTTTTTTGTCCTTGTTCATTTCGGATTGTTTTGAATTTATGGATGGATAGACCAGAGAATTAGAAAGGGCTCTTCCCTTTTGTTTTTTTGTTTTCTTTTTTAAGAAAAGTGATTATGAAATGGTATGTGTTTGACATTTTTATACAATTTTTATTACTAACATGCACATCATTGATGGTGTTTTGAAAGTTCGGTGGGAGAAGATAAAATGTGGGGTTTTGCTTAAAATAACTACATCGGTGGCCTTTGCAAACAATGGTAGTTGTTGACGTTTAGAAAAATATTGAAACCTAAAACATACATAAGTTGTGATCCATGCAACTACAGTTGTAATGCACATTTCTATATTTTAATATCTCATCTAACTCCCTATAACTCAAGTGATTAAGAGCAGCCATTTAGCACCTAAGGTCTGGTGCTCAAATTCCCTCCCTTTTTTATTTTTTATTTTAATAATACGAAAAATGAAAACTACAAGATAGAGCCTCTCGGATAAGAGCGCCCAAAAAAGTTGAAGTAAAAGGGGAACAAACAGATAATGGGAGACCAACATCGCTTGTATTAAAAAAGATATCTTATCTAACTCCAAATTAGTTGACTACTATTTGATCCTATTAATTTGTTATGTTAGAATAATTTAATCGGAGGACTGATCACTGGTCAAAGGAAAATTGGCTTATTAATTTTGAGATTTCAAAGCATAAAAACAAGTTTAATTAATGTTGCTCGTTTTATGCAGCTGTGTTATCTCTAGAATTTTGTTGTAATAATTCCACCGCCCGTCCATTGATCTAATCTTCACGCACAAAATGCTGATTGACTCAACTATACATATTGACCTCAAGTTAAAAAAAAACCTCCCATTGCTTGCTTGCAAGATTGGATTGCTAGGGATTTGACTCGGTCTCGCTTCATGCTGGGGCGACGCGTGTGACTCGCTCCTCGCCACCAGTTTTACAACCCAACAAAAGAAACTAACTAACCCCCAATTTAATCATTTTTTAATTAAATTAAAATTACAGTTTTTAATTCTGAAATTATCTTGTGAATTTTTTTATTCCATTAAAAAAGTTTAGTAATTATTGGTTGCTTCCTTCCGCTGCTTGCGTTTGCAAAAACTGAAACCAAAAATAGAAGAGAATCCGCTTTGGCTTCTCTCACTCTCGTCGTCCTTTTCTTACCTTCGACGACCTTTTAATTTCTCTCTCTATCTCTCTGTCACTTCTCTCTATGGCATTTCCTTTCTTCAGGTACTCTCTCTCCCCTCCCTCTCTCTTTCACATTTCATCTTAATTACCGCCTAATTTTCTCTTCCAATTCCTCATCTCCAAGGTGTTTCTTGTCATGTTGATGAACATCAAGATCCGTATATTGCGTCTCAACTTTTTTTATTCTTTTTTTTTTTCAATGATTATATAATATAGTGTAGAATTTGTGTTTTTAATTTTGATTTTCGCATGATATGCAGGTTAAACTCAGCAATTTATGATTCGGATATGATATTCCTGGAGTGATTTGAGCTATATTGGCGTGCAACAATAGGTCGTGTCATTCATATCATTTGTTCTCTATATATAGCAATCACTGTAGCTGTTTTTCTACAGTATCTAATTTCGGTCAAAGAAACAAGAAGCGAGCAATTTGAAAATTCAAGCAACGAGAAGAAGATGGGTTATCTCAATTCCGTTTTGTCACCTTCAACCCAGGTTCATGCTGACGACCCACCTGTAAGCGGCGGGGGGCTCAGGTTATTGAACTCTCCCATTTATCAATTTCTGTTTTTTTGGTTTGGATCTGGAGTCTCTGCAATTGGTATATTTTTTTATGGATTGTCATATATTCCTTTTGTAGCATTTTCTTTTATGGGAACCTATGTTTGTGTTTTATTTCATGTATTATTTTGACTTGTGATTTATTGGGTACATTTATTTTGTGAAGCTCTTGAGGAAGCAATTCTGAATTTGGGTTTTTGTCTGATCTCATGCATAAGTCTAAGTTTTGAGGAAATTTTGGTGTGTAATTTGGATTGTATGATGCTTTTATTGTATTATATACCTTCATGAGATGACCTATGAATTCTGGTCCTGGTGATATTTATTTTTTAGGGAAGATTTTCGTTGATTTGGCTATTGCACTAGACCTGAGCTATGTTATTTATCTCAATTTAATTGGATGGTTTGGTAAAGGGTGATAGAATTTAGGTCCATCAATCATTTAACAAGTGTTATACAAAAACAGAGGGGAAAATATATGACATGCATGATCACAGAAACTTGTAATTTATGTTTTGTCGTGTCGGGGCTGCACCCGTGTTGCTACGTCTGCCTTAATTACCGTTTGTCGTGCTCGGCACCGCCAAACATAAGGATTGTGCCAAGCATTGTTTTTGTTTTGCTGGTTTGCTGGATCTTCCAAATAATGCTGTCTGGAATTTTGCGTTTGTAGACACGCTGAAAAAGCTTTTCATTGGCATTATAATTGTGTGACAAAATATGTATTTGTTTTTAATCTCCACGTGCGTGAGCGTGGAACTCATTTTGGAAACATGTACCTCATTGGATTTTGCTAAAAAGTTACGGTTATTTCCCTTCCTGCATTGACCCTGAAATTTGGTTCTTAAATGCTATTGGAATTGGATATGGATACTCACCTTTGAATTCTTTACTGTTTCTGTTACATGTCATTTTTTACAATGGTTCGGACTAGTCTCACTATGTGTGATGTTAAATGTGTTAACAGTCAGAATGGAAAGTTCAGTTATGGATATGCAAGCTCTCCGGGGAAAAGATCTTCTATGGAAGACTTTTATGAGACAAGAATTGATGGTGTTGAGGGAGAAATAGTTGGTCTCTTTGGAGTTTTTGATGGTATATCTCTCTCTCTCTCAGACACACACACACACACACATGCATGCCCGTGCACACACAGGGATAGGTGTGAATATATCGTGCTTAGCATCGTTTACATACACAATTATGCAGATGGCTGTTAGGTGTGGATATGTATTAAATCTTTGCCAATTTTCATCCTTCTAGTGTGGATATAATCTTCATATCTTTTCTTTGGTTTATTGTTTGCTCACTCAATAATATTGTTGTTCGTATGATATTATGTGATTTTAATTGTTGAGTGGGTTTCGGTTTGCGTCAAAGTTGAGATCTCACCCTTGATCAACTTGTCAGTTTACGCATGGGGTCGAGCTATTCTAGCTGGATAATGGAAATCTTGGTCTTTGCCACACTGTGGTGGTGATCTTCTGACCAGATGAACCTCTGGGGGCTCTATTCTGATACTTCAAGCTCTACATGCTTAATTCACATTAACTCGCTAATCGGATTTGATTAGTATTTCATGGAGCAGCAGCTCTGTTGTATTTCCATCTGGTTTGACTGTATATGTAATCATTCTTTCTATTATTCTCTTGTTGGATTAGTTTCTTAGTAAGTCTTAATTAATTAGTTAGATTCTTCCAGTCATAGTTCATGCGCTATTCATATGGAGCATTTGTACATAAGCATACACAGAAAACGCTTTTACTCATATTGTGTTTGTACATATATACTTTCAAACTTTTTGAAAGCAAGAAGATAGGTGACACTGAAAAATTCTGTGTTATATTGAATCAGGTCATGGGGGTGCACGTGCTGCTGAATATGTCAAGCAAAATCTTTTTAGTAATTTGATCAGGCATCCAAAATTTATCTCGGACACCAAATCTGCTATAGGTTTGTCACTTCTTACCTGTAGCCTGCAATTTTTTGGTTGCTTTCTAATTAATCCTTTTCAGTTTTCTACTTACGAAAAAATAAATAAATTACAGCATTTAATTTCCTGTTCCTGCAGCTGATGCATACAGCCATACAGACTCTGAATTTCTGAAATCAGAAAATAATCAGAATAGAGATGCTGGGTCAACTGCTTCCACTGCGATCCTAGTTGGTGACCGTTTGCTTGTCGCGAATGTTGGGGATTCCAGAGCTGTGATATGCAGGGGTGGTAACGGTAAGACTTTGAAGATTTTCCCTCTTCAGTTGTGATTTAGCATAATAATTGTATCAAAGACTGCAAGTTCGAGGGTTGAATGACTTTTGTGCCCTGTGTCGTATGTTTTGCTAGATGGTATAACCACGGAGAGAGAGAGAGAGAGAGAGAGAGAGAGAGAGAGAGAGAGAGAGAGAGAGAGAGAGAGAGAGAGAGAGAGTGTTGATGATATCTTTAGCTCTTTAATGGTAGCACATTATTCGAGCTAAAAGTATATGTATGCTGGAACTTCATGGTTGTAGAGAATTTTGTTGAATGACAGTATTGTGCTATAAAATGTTCACATGTTTCATGGTTCTGTAATATTATCTTGTTATATCTTGCAGCTATAGCTGTTTCAAGAGATCACAAGCCAGACCAGACTGATGAGCGGCAACGGATTGAGGACGCAGGAGGATTTGTAATGTGGGCTGGTAAGGTTTATCATTGTTTTGAAGATTTTTCATGAATTGGTAGATGATTGCGTTCTTGATGACGGAGATTGTATCAACAGGAACTTGGAGAGTCGGAGGTGTTCTCGCTGTTTCTCGTGCATTTGGTGATAGGCTGTTGAAGCAGTATGTCGTTGCTGATCCTGAAATCCAGGTTTGATTCGTTTTGCTGATACTTGATTGTCAATACACACGGACATATGGGTGTTCAAGGATGTATAGTCTTTTGCGGAAAACACGATTCTCATAGAAACTTTAAAATTTTCATGATTGGTGTTAATCTCAGACACTGAGAATATTTGTCTGATTAACTGCATTTTGAGTTCTTTATTATCAATACCAGTCCTATGTGATTTGAAGAATTTGTTGATTGGTATTGCCTTGTGGTTTCCATTGCCTGCTTCCATCCCTAGCTTCTCGGCATATTTTATTAACTTGCTTTATTTTGGCAGGAGGAAAAGATTGACAACTCTCTTGAGTTCCTTATCCTTGCTAGTGATGGACTGTGGGATGTTGTCACCAATGAGGTTTCCATGATTTTCTTTTTTTCTTTTTTCTTTTTACTGTTCTGCCATACGGTTGATATGATGGAGGGTGAATGACAGCATGCCTTTAGAGCCGAAAACTTTTTGTTCTGTATTTGACTACTTGACTAACCAAACAGTAATCAATCCTTCTGAGTATATAGTTGGGATGTCTGTCCTTTATCCCTATTTTGCTGCGATTATACACTGTTTTTACAATTAGCAAACCGATTAGATGACTTGGTATGACCCTGACTGGTTCTTGACCTTATTTCTATAGGAGGCCGTCGCAATGATCAAACCAATTCAGGATCCAAAGCAGGCAGCAGAGAGGCTAATGCGGGAAGCATATCAGAGAGGAAGTGCAGACAATATTACCTGTGTCGTGGTTCGTTTCTTGGCTAACCAAGGGGGCACCTCTCGTAGCAGTTCCGGGTAAGCACCAGCTCATGCTCATCATGCTCACAGCAAGGGGCTTGGAATCCTACCAGATTGGTGGTAGAGGTCAGGTGCAATAAAAATCAGTGGTTAATAGTTTTAGAACATCTGTGGTAGCGTTGTACTTTAAAAAGAATAGAGAGACATGATCAAAACTTACATGGCTGCGAATGTGTATTACATGTCTTCAGCCTATATAATAGCATAGACTTGTGTATGTGAACTTAGATCTTGTACTTTGACAGTAAGTGTAGCAGAAATGTCAACGTGTTTGTAAAGTGTTTTCTCATTTCGTTTGCTCTCTGTAAATTTAAGCGTTAATTCAAGTGTTTTTTCACTTCTTTTATTATCCTTCATGGCAAATTATGCGAGGAAAATAAAAACTCCTTTGTATTTTTTTAGTAATTCTTATTTTATCCTCGTGTTCAACGACTTTTGGTACTAAAAATAAAACCAAGTATTTCTTAACCGTTCGATTGAAGACAATGGGCACTTGTCTTCACCCGCACGAGCTCTTTGCCCAAACTAAACAGAAACCAAAATTTTCCAGGGGAAAAATCACTGCACTTCTCCAGAACTTATCTCATTCAGAGTTCATATATATTTTAGTGTTTGCATATAATGAGTCAGAAAACCTACTAGACAACTAAACTCTGATATGGTACAACGAAAGCTAACTGGAAAACAAATAAATTGAAATTACATATATACCCATGATGCTTTGTTTCTCTTTCTCTCTGACCTTTCTCCACATTTCAACTCTGATAATGGATAGTGACTCAGTGAGTGGTAACAATTTACAAAAGGAGAAAAAAGAAGAAGAAAGTTTGAGAACAAAAGTAAAATTACATTTCTGTAGAGTAGAGAGAGAAAGAGGAGGACTCAGAAATATTGAATGGTATCGGCAAGGCAATTTTGCCATTACGCACGACGAGCGAACCAAATTGTTATCCTCATCGTCCTCCTTTCTTTCTACACTCAAAAAGAAACTGAACTGGGCAACAACAAAAAAAATAAAAAAACAAAAAATCTAAAATCGAAACCGAAAACAGAAAAAAGAAGAGAAAATAAGGAACAATGAGAAACCTACCTAACTATTTATTAGTTACACAAGCAGCAAAGAACTCTCTCTCTCTCTCTCTCTCTCTCTCTCTATGCATATTGCAATAACAACAAAGGGTTGGGGGCTTTATATAATGGGGGTGGTGTCTTTGTTCAACTTATTTGATCTAAAAAAATTCGGGTGGAGGTGCCCACATTGACATTACCGTCTGCCTTGCTTACCAAGGCTGGTGGAGCCTACATAAATAAAATAATAAAATAATGAAGTTTGTCTGTCATCTTCCTTTGCAGCCAACCACACATAACAGGTAGGGGTCATCATTTCGCCCACAGCCTGTGGCCCGAAATGGGTAATTTGAGGTCCGAAGGGTTAACATCTGACCCAATTTGATAGTTAGGCCTATTCGATCCGGCCCATTCTAAAGTTGAATAGAATTTGAGCTTAGCATTGAAATTCTCGGCCCAAAAGCCCGCCTAAGCCGGACCCAGATCACCCTAAATAAATAAATAATAAATACTAATAATAGTATAGAATTATTATAGACGTACAAATATTCAAAGAAACAAGCCCATTGTAATAAACAAAAACAAATAATGTACATATATTTACAGTGACGCACTCAATGACTTTTTTTTAGCTTTAATGAAAATAAAATAATTTGTTTTATGAATTAATAAATTATCAATATCTAACGGTGGGTGAGCACAATATCTTAGACTCCTGTGGTCCAAGAGATCGGGACTGTATAAATTAACAAGTTAAAAAATTTCATCGTTGTCTAAAAATTTGTAACAAAAATATAAATATAAAAAACTTTTTAAAAAATAATAAATAAATAAATAAAAGGACCGGCCTTTCTAGGCTTATCTGCCGTCGGGCTCGGAAAGCCCGCCAAGGCTCAGCCCAATAGACAAGCTAAGGGCAAGGCTTTTGAAATCTCAGCCCGGCCCAACTCTAAAAATAAATAAATAAATAAATAAAAATAATCTCGACGAGGCTCGGCTTGAGCCCAAAAATTTCACGCCGGTCTAAGGCGACTCAATGACGAACCCTAATCACGGGTCCTTTAGCTTATATAAAGGCTTCATCTCTTCACTGCTATAAGTCTAGGAGAAGTGAAGCACACCAACTGAGAGAAGAAAGAGAGTAGGGTAGAAAGGAAGGAAAGAAGAGAATAAAGAAGAGAGTGAGGGGGAGAGAAGAGAGCGGAGAAAAAATCTCCAAGAGAGAAAAATCAATGAGCCAATGAGATTGTAAACACTAAAGTTGTAGTCCTATTATTTTACATAGTGGAAGAGTTACAGTTGTTGCTCTTCGAGGAAGTAGGCATGACCAAACCTCGTTAAATATCATGTCTCATTTACTTTACGTGCAGTTCAATATTCTCGCATATACTGTTTATTTCTCAACAATAGTGAATATTTTGTCTATCCAATGAAAAGAAAAGTAGATGTGAGCATGAATAATTAATAATAAAGTAAGAATGATTGCTCCCTCTAAAACAAAATGTGCTTGTGCTTCAGATGAGTTTCTAAATGTGGAAACAAATATTTTAGTACCCGGTTCACAAATTTCTTAGGTTAAATAAAACAACTCTCTTTCTATCTGCAATAACACCATTTTTCATCCTCCTCTAACTTCTTCTAGCATAGATGTAGATAAAGCCAAGATGGGCTATGTAGGCTGCTGCATGCCCACTCTCAAAACGTCGGCGTTTCTCTTCGACCATCACAATCAACACCAGCAGCAGCTCGTGGGGCCCATGCCGACAATAAGGGCTGAGCTCACCACGACATTCATTGGGTTGAGCCCAGCGTTGTTTGGGCCGACAGAGTGTTGTTGTTCTTTGTTAAATCCTAAGGCCCAAACCCAAAATAAGCTGTGGAAAAGTATGAAAGGATCTTCTTCCTACTCATATATAAGACCTGCGGGCGGAATAACTGCTCTTAATCACTTGAATTTGCGACAGTCTTACCCTTCACCTTCACCGGACAATGACATGATAGACAATAATTGCAGGTGAGTTAGAAGATAAGCCAAAGCCTTGGACCATTTATTTCTTTACGTATTCCAGTTTTCATTCTCGTTGATTGTTCTAGAGTCCTCGAGTATGATCAACTAATTAAAAAATTAATAGCAAAGGAAAAAGGCCAAAAAAAAAGGGAAAAGGGGAAAGTTAAAGGAGGTCATCTTTAGAGACACCATCTCCCACGGTCCACCTAACAAACGTGTCTGAGTCAGTGGCTTTGGCTTGCCCAAACCTTATCCAATTAATAGTAAATTGATTTGCTAATTATATTAAATTTATCCTAATCAGAATTCAGAATCACATAAACCAATAGCAACTCAGATTCTGATACGCTTAATACAAAACTCATTACTGCATATATATTTAAAAACTTGTACAAAATCGACGGTCAAGATTTTCCATGGATCGTTCAAAATACATCATCTCTTACTCTTACCATATTTACATAACTACGATCAGAATTTGTGGAAACGAAAACGAACAATACAAAGCTTACTGGATCTGGTTACAAAGTTACTGGTGCTGGTTACAAAGTTACTAGAACGACGGAACGACGCCGTACCGGCACAGACGTTCCGCTTCGATTTCCACTTCTGTGCGCTTAGCGAACCTGCCTTTGATTCGCGGTCTGGTCTCCGCATACGCTTTCCTCGAAGCGTAACGTATCGTCTTCTCGAACTTTCGGTTCTTTCGCTTCTCTCTGTACCTCAACACCCTCGCTTCGCGATCCGCCGATGAAATCTGAACCGCCTGATGTGTTGACTCCACCGCCGAGCTCATTGACTTGGTGTAAGGATCGCTCACGTCCGTCATCGTCGTGTTGCCATCTGGCACAACGCTAACGTCCATGGACGACGATGATACCTGAGCCGCAAAACACAAGATCAGAGACTCCGATTGAAAATCAATAATAATTTATTTAGCCTCTGTTTGGTTAGTGAGAAAATAGAGTACTTACACTCTGGCTCAGACACTGAGCGTGGAAGCCATAGACGTATGGCTTGGACGCGGCGGAGAAGTCAATTTCGAAGCTGTGGTCGTTGACGAGCTGAGGCTGAACGCTTTTGCTCTGAACCGGCACGACGCCATCTGTACCGCAACTATTCTGCTCCTGAGCATCTTCAAGCTTCGGATCCACGTTCCCGTAGTCCAGATCCAAATACGGATCCATTTCCGGGAGAAAGTACTCGCCCGAGTTCAGATCCGGATTCTCCATTGCCTTCGGATTTGGGAGCAGCCACGAAGCAGCCTCGGCCTCTTCCCTGCTCACCTCAGTCTCTGCGTCTTGACCGTCCACGTCGGAGAAGTAACGGTCGTCGAGGAAGTTGACGACAGATTTGACGACGGGGGCTGAGTTGGCGGCCGAGTTAGCCGAGTCGTAGAAGGGCGTCACGGAGACTCGCTCGTGGCGGCGACTAAGAGGGTTGGCCGAGTGGATGTCTTGATCACACGTGACGCAGAGAGCGGCGTCGTCGGCCTTGCACGTTACGTGAGCGGGGGCTTGCTCGCAGACCTCGCAGAGCCAGACTCGGGCGTGGCGGGAAGCGAGCTTGTTGGCGGCGTGGATCTTGGAGTCACAGTTGACGCAGAGGAAGGCTGAGTCAGCTCGGCAGAACAGAGTCGCCGTTGCCGATTTGCACGAGTCACAGAGCTTCGACGCCATAACCCAACGATGCTGTGCTGAATATGTCTGATAAAAAACACACAGAAACTATTTTTCTCTCTCTCTCTCTCTCTCTCTTTTGTGTGTTCTGATCAAGTGTGTGTCTATCCGGTGGGCCTGGGGATATCTAGGGATTGACCAATGAGGAAGCGATACGTGGATGAAGCTTAGCCAAAAGGTAGGATTGCCGAGTTAAAGTTTGTGTGCTGTCAATTGTCAATTTTAGGTGGAGCCCACGGGCGATGGTCGTCGTTTGTTTATAGGTTTACTTGCCTTGGCTTTTTTCGCACTGTCGTGGTGA